AACCCCGGATTTTACAGTTGTAAGTTCGTAAACTTACCGGTGGACGATAACAATTTTTAGATACGGCTTTTGGTGTTACATATATAGGGAAGCCCCCCTGGTTGACCAGCGGCACGTCTGTGGGGTATTCATGCTACAATACCCGCAACGCTTAACAACAAACATATATGAAACACAGTTTTTCACACGATGCCATATTCAATGTTACGTTTTTTGAAGGTAAGTTAGGGTGATTGCAGATGAATAAACGTGATTTTCTTGTTCTTATATATTATAGTAATATAAAAACCATCAATAAGTGTATTAGTATGTTACAGTCAGTTCATGAAGTGTAAGTATCATCATAAATTTTCCAAAACAAAGCACAGGCAAATAAAGTGGCTGTTAAAGCTGTTTAATAATATATGTTCAATTGTTTTTTAGAGTTCTGCATGCTGATATAAGTACGGGATGGTACCACTGGCGAATAGGGCTAGCAGTCTATCGATAGAAACTGTGAATTTTTTAAAACTTTATTTAAATCGGACTTAATTGAGAGCCTAGTTTCCTATGAAAGGCTTGCAGCGCTGAATAATTGTAGCGCTGATAAGCGATAAACGTGTAATAAATGTAATAAACGTTGGACTGTAAACAAAAAATTTTGTCCAATGTATTCTTATTTAAATTTTGAACTGTATGAATAGTAATAGTACATGCCAGTTTTCATCTAATTAGTGGAGACAATCCTATCTGATATTATAGTCGTATGATAACCTTAGAAGCGTTTGTGCTGGGTCGTTTAAAAAATGTGTGGATTTATTGTTGTTTGTAATGGTTATTTAAATATCAATACCAATGTTTATGTAAATCGGTTCAGTCATAGTTGAGAGCATGGAAATTCCGTATATTCCTCAGTTTTAGGGTTTTCTTACAACTTCTTTCGACATTTCTTTTTTCCTCTACGTTGTAGTTGACAAAAAAAAGACAACATGCAAAATTTCAAAATTATTAGAGGAGCTCAAACATTAAATATAAGTGCATACATGGGTACCATTAAGACACTAACTGAGCATCGTTTAAGGCTTATTTTTCCCAATTCCACAACTCTTAAAATACAACCAATACCAAATGAACATAAATGAAATTCTGAAAGCATATAAGTATGTTAATTTTATACACAAAATAATCGAAAAAATTACTTAGAGGAATTACTCCATTTTTTAACATACCTTTTAATTACATGTTACTATGATCATAGTACATCATGATATGTAAGAGAAGCATCCTTGGACATTTATCGTATCTCTTCAAACTATTGCGATA